GAAACTGTTAGTTCATCCCAAATGATCATGGGGTTACCTTCCCAAGAAAAGTTTGAAAGATGCTTTCTCTTCCTGGTGAGGTTGTGCGGCAAAGCTGTGACGCAGTTGGGACACGAGGTCTAGAGCTGCAGACAGACAGCATAATTTTTCATGCGATCCTGACTGACAGGCTGAGCATCTCTGAACAGTCACAGTATCAAGGACTCCAAAATCTCAAGAAGGGGTTAAGCTGACCAAGGCCATGCTCAGGGCTAAATCTTACTCCACTCTTCCTCTCAAAGATTGCCACGTCCCCGGATGCAATTCTGTAATTCTTCAGTTTTTAAATTACTTATATATTTTCCTGTCTAGCTCTAAAGACCAACGAGTTTGTGGGCACTGCACTAGTTTTGCACTCTGGTAAGGTTACAATTTACGAATCATCTCAATGACCTATAATTGGGCTCTGCGTCTCCCCACCTTTGTCTGACCGTAAGCCACATCACGCAGGAAGGCAGTTCCCACGACATACATCCCTCTCTGGCTGGTGTTTTAAAAACATACCTTCAATCTTGGTCTTGAAGTGAGGGTATCTGTTGAGAATATCCACCTGCTTCTTCCAGTCAAATTCATTCCGCCAGTAGGAGATAATTTTCTTCAGATAGGTGGAGTTGAAGCCATAGTGGAAGCAGCTGTCCTCCAAAGGCGGGGTAAAGCGGAACTTATCGATCCTCTGGTGTAAGTCCTGGGCCAAAATGCAGGACACCAAGAAGAGAGGGTTGAGGGTGGGGCTGGAGTACAAGACAAAGTTTGTTTCCAGAAGAAGACAGTAAACCCTGCAGCCACAAGACGCTGCACTATAGTAGGGGCAAAGCAGTTTCCCACATCGTTGGCTACTCCCAAAGCCTACGTGTTCTTCACTGCAGACTTCAGATGTCCTTTTATTGATTTTAAGACAGTCTCACTCTGTTGCCTGGGCTAGAGTGCTGTGGCGTCAGCCTAGCTCACAGCAACCTCAAACTTCTGGGCTCAAGCGATCCTCCTGCCTCAGCTCTTGAGTAGCTGGGACTACAGGCATGCACCACCACACCTGGATAATTTGTTCTATTTTTAGTTGTCCGACTAATTTCTTTCTATTTTTAGTAGAGACGGGGTCTCGCTCTTGCTCAGGCTGGTCTCAAACTTCTGACCTCAAGCAGTCCTCCTGCCTCGGCCTCCCAGAGTGCTAGGATTACAGGCGTGAGCCACCGCACCCGGCCCATCTCTCATTTTTTAAATGTATAAATATTCATCTTTAATTTACCAAGGCTTCTATATAGCAGAGGTCAGCAAACTTTCTGTAAAGGGCCAGAGAGTAAATATTCTAGACTTTTCAAGCTGCAAAATAATGAGAATGAAGCCACAGGCAATACGCAGATGAATGGGCACGGCTGTGTTCCAACAAAACTGTATTTATGGACACTGAAATGTAAATGCCATATAATTCCACATGTCATGACATAGTATTCTTTTGATTTTTTCCCCTAAGAATGTAATATTCTTAAAGAACGTAAAAACTATTTTTGGCATGGGCGCTATGCAAAAACAGGTGGCAGAGGCTACCTTTGGTCTGCGGGCCATGGTTTGCAGACCCCTGTTGGACATTACTGAATGACACATTATAACTCAGATGGGATAAAAACTACAGACCAGGAGAGAGGGTGCAAGTCTAATGGGCGTGTACCAGGCTAAAAGGCCAGGCTGCTTTCTGTGACCTCTGATGCATGTAACTGGGTCCTGCTAGCACCCGCACTCCTGCCTGGGCACTGCTAGGCCTTGGATAGGGGAAAGGGAAAGGAGGGAGGGAGCAGGTGAGCTGGGCACATCTCTCTGGAGCAACCTGCACCTGCCCAGTGGGGCAGAGCAGACTGGAAAACTCCACAGAGGGCCCATGTCCTGAGCACCCATCCTCCCCAAATCCCAGTCTAAGATCCAACCCCAGTCTCAGAGAAACCACAGAAGGGCTTCCCCGCCCACCCAGCCATGCCTGGAACCAGGTGTCTTACGTGGATCTCCTCATCCGACGTTTCCACCTTGAAGGGGCGGATGCTCTCGTCCTCCCTGGCTGCGGGCCTCGTGCCCGGCCCCCACCACCCATCTTCAAGTGGCAAAGTTTCCTCCTTGTCCCGGGAGATGAACCAGTAGATGACAAAGCCCAGCACCGAGGCGAGGAGAATTTCCAGCCACATGGCGCCTGCAAGATGAGGGACAGGTCGTGAGCCCCAGAGACCACCCAGCCAGGCCTGCACCCCCGGGCAGAGACTCCAAGTCCAATCTCTCCCTCCCAATCCCTGATTTTATTTACATTTCACCTAAAAAAATACATATATATATGATACAGAAAAATTGGACAACAGTAGAAAAAGAGACAAAATCACCCACAATCCTGCTAAGACTGGAAAATCATTACTCAGACTGGGGCAGTAGGAACTCGGATTGGCGTCCACACAGCCCCGCGTGGGGGGCGTTGGGGGCTGCATGTCCGAAGCCCTGTGTTTCTGTGAGGGGCCTTTGGCACCACGCTCCCGAGAAGGCTTCTCTCCACGGGGGGCAGGAGCGGCTTTGCTGAGCAGGGAGCCTCCGCCCCTTGCTCTGCCTCTCTTGGGGAGCGGCCTGTGCTCAGGCTGCCCAAAGGGCACGGGGAGGCCTGCAGTGCCGGGAGATCGAGCTCAGCGTCAAGGAGCCCAGTCACGGCCACGCATCTCAGCCGTGCGTGTAAGAGCTTCACTGAAATGCAATCCACGCACTACACGACTCACCCACGTAAAGTGTACAATCCAGTGGTTTTTAGGATATCCACAGAGTTGTGCACCCACCACCACAGCCAGCGTGAGAACTCTTTCCTCAGCGCAGAGAGAAACCCTGTGCGCTGTAGCCATCGCTCCTCTACGACTCTCCCGGCCGGGGCCCTGCGCACTCGCCAGTCTACTTTCTGTCTCT